GGGGGGGGGGGATTTTTGGGAGTGGAAGAAATGATGGGTGAAATTGTCAAAAGCGATAGCAATGCACTATTGGGGTGGTGGTCGATGTTTTTTTTTCGAGGGGGTTGGGATTTTTGGGAGTGGAGGAAATGATGGGTGGAATTGTCAAAAGCGATAGTAGTGAACCAGAGAAAAATGAGTATTCGTCCAAATTCGTCTCATTTAGACCGAGATAGACTTACTCTTATCCCCTCCGAGCCCCGTTATATATATAAAACNAGGAAATGATGGGTGGAATTGTCAAAAGCGATAGCAGTGAGCCAGAGAAAAATGAGTATTCGTCCAAATTCGTCTCATTTAGACTGGGATAGACTTACTCTTATCCCCTCCGTGCCCCGTTATATATATAAAAATACTCCCAATAAAACCCTAACCTACCCTCTCTAATCTCTATCAGTCGCCCGCCTCCATACTCCCAATTTCCATCGTCTTCCTCCATTGTCAATGCCAACAAAGCCTCTGCTGTTCCTCAACGCCGACACAGCCTCACAAGTCACTGAGGTCAGTCATCTCTCTCTCTCTCGCTTCTATGGCTTAACCGTATTATTATGTTNAAACCCTAACCTACCCTCTCTAATCTCTATCAGTCGCCCGCCTCCATACTCCCAATTTCCATCGTCTTCCTCCATTGTCAATGCCAACAAAGCCTCTGCTGTTCCTCAACGCTGACACAGCCTCACAAGTCNACCTACCCTCTCTAATCTCTATCAGTCGCCCGCCTCCATACTCCCAATTTCCATCGTCTTCCTCCATTGTCAATGCCAACAAAGCCTCTGCTGTTCCTCAACGCCGACACAGCCTCACAAGTCACTGAGGTCAGTCATCTCTCTCTCTCTCGCTTCTATGGCTTAACCGTATTATTATGTTTTTATTGTAGGCCTTCTTGGCTAGACGACATAATTTTTTTGGGTCTTCTGTTGTAGCATTGTGTTCTGTATGTAATGTTGTAGGATAGTGAAGGGACTCATGGATACATGCATATGCTTGCTTTAACAACAATTTTATTTCAGAATTTTGGAACGACAAAATCAAACAGAATATCTAAAGTAAGATTCGAATAGAATATCTGAATTAAGATTTGCATTGTGTTTGAAAAANGTTCTGTATGTAATGTTGTAGGATAGTGAAGGGACTCATGGATACATGCATATGCTTGCTTTAACAACAATTTTATTTCAGAATTTTGGAACGACGGAATCAAACAGAATATCTAAAGTAAGATTCGAATAGAATATTTGAATTAAGATTTGCGTTGTGTTTGAAAAATCTCTCTCTCCCTCNCAGAATATCTAAAGTAAGATTCGAATAGAATATCTGAATTAAGATTTGCATTGTGTTTGAAAAATCTCTCTCTCTCTCTCTTATTTGGTTCTGATCTAACCACAATTATTTGTATTTGGGCTAATGGTTACACATTGGCATGGAATTCCTTTTTGTGTAGATTGTTTGCAAATGTTGACACTAAATTAAGAAGTGTAATTCTTCCATTAGGGTACTAATTTTTTTAGTTTTTGTTCTCGGTGGTGATGAAAATTTAGTTAAATGGAAGTCCTGCTCAACTATATCTAATGATAATTAAAATGATATGATTAAGTGTTCAATGCTCAGGAGGAAAGTGCTTCTTAGTGACNATTTTTTTAGTTTTTGTTCTCGGTGGTGATGAAAATTTAGTTAAATGGAAGTCCTGCACAACTATATCTAATGATAATTAAAATGATATGATTAAGTGTTCAATGCTCAGGAGGAAAGTGCTTCTTAGTGATACGGTGGGATTCATTCAGATCTTCCTGTGCTGGTTAGTTGAAAGTTTGTGCAACTGTTTTTCCCCTAAATTTTTTGTTGTATTGGTTCTTGATTGTAGGCCACTCATTTTGCAGTTAGTGGAAGCTTTTCAGGCAACCTTGGAAGAAGTTGTTGAAGCTGACCTCCTTGTGGTACGAAATTGTTGTTTGCCATTTTCTGTACTCGTCCTTAAATATTTTGCGGTGTGATCTGCAATTCAGTGTGTATTGTGGCTTCCAGGCAATTGTTTACATGCCTGTGAGTTAGGTCACATTTTTACATATGCCTTGCTTTGGATGCATTATGAATTGAATTGAATTCATTGAATACATGTTTGATAATTTTCGGAGATTTTATTTGATCTAATATATATTGTTTACACTATTTTCATAATTATTGTGTAACATAGCACTTGATCAGCTTGGGCTTGGGCTTGGGCTTGGGCGGGGGCGAGGATTAGAAATTTACTCGTGGACGGAGATAGGGATGACCGGGTATGGACAAAGATTTTTTAGCGGGTACGAAGATGGACCCTATGCCCTTCACCCTCACTTCGGTCTACTGACATCCCTAGTCATCCTGGTGAGTCGTGGTGGGGTGCAAGGTTGTATGAGAGATATTTGAAAAAAGAGGATAAAAAGGTGATTGATATGGATAATTTACATCTATACTCACTTTGTTAATGGTTGGCTCAAGTTCAGTTGATGCACACTTTAATTTTAATTTTTTTTTTCCATCCTATAATACATCATTTCCAATTTTTACACTTGGTCGTGCACGTGGTCAATACTAGTTGTGACACAAGTAAGTGTTTTTATTATTCAAACACGTTTTTTTTTATAAAGTACTTTGATTTAAGTGTTTTTTATTTTAAACATTTAAACAGTACTTATTTAATGAAAGTGTTTTCTTATAAAATATTTTTGATAAACACTTAATAAAAAAAAAGTAATTTTGGAATTTAATGAATAACCACTAGCTATTCTTACTCGATATTTTTTGACTTTTTCTTTTGGGTCTAATGGTCTGAGTGTCATTACTGGAATCACTACAAGAAAAATGAGAAAATTCGGCATTTAATTTTCGGTGTTTAACTTTAACGCCACTAAAAATTGGCGTTTGTTTTTGTACGCCAGAAATTATTAATAAAAAAAAAAAAATTCGCTTAATTGCCGACGTTTAAGTTAAATGCCACAAATTATTAATAAAAATAATAAAAAAAATTCGCTTAATTTCTGACGTTTAAACAAACGCTACAAATTCTAAATTATAAAACTTTTTTTTTTCTCCCCCAACGTATACCTAAATTTTTCTCCCCCAACATATACCTAAATTTTTCCCCAATCTCTCGACTTCTCTGGCATCGACCCTCTGCAACTACTCCTCGCTGGCTCTTCTCAAAACCCGACTCCTCGTCGTCCCTCCCTAAGGTGACTTCAGCTCCGACATTATAAGCAGGTTTNCATCGACCCTCTGCAACTACTCCTCGCTGGCTCTTCTCAAAACCCGACTCCTCGTCGTCCCTCCCTAAGGTGACTTCAGCTCCGACATTATAAGCAGGTTTGGATTCTGTGACTTCAACGTACGCTCTCTCTCTCTCCAATTGCTATTCTGCGTATTTCCGGAGTAACATACCTGTNGTGACTTCAACGTACGCTCTCTCTCTCTCCAATTGCTATTCTGCGTATTTCCGGAGTAACATACCTGTGATTGATCTGTAACAGATCTCTTTCTCTCTCTCCTTCCCCTTCTCACTCACTCATTCTCCATGACTGTAGACTCACCCCGTAGCCCCCTTTACCCTTTCTCCTTTCACCCAGTCACTGCATACCACATGTTCGATAAATTGCCATGGCAATTTGTTGTAAAAGTTGCATTTCCTGGCTGAGATCATTTTGAGGAGTATATTATGTAACGTAGTACTGGTTGTTAAAGCTTTTCAGGAATGTTGATTCATGTGTTTCTTTCCGCAGCATTATTCGAGCTCTGTCTCGATGTGTTTCCTTTTATAGTACATGACTGTAATTGTTGTTGCTAACATCTTCATGCTTCTCGTATTCAATAAATGCTTATTTTACCATTCAAACTTTCAATTGCTACAGGGACAGGCACTGTAGCGTTTATGAGCATTGTGTCACTTGTGTTTACCCATCGTTGTGGGTGAGTGGTATGATATGNGAGCTTAATAATTTAAGATGCTATGCAAGCCAACAGCAAACAATAATATCCGAAAGCAATAAGGAATTAGATTTGCTGAAGCGTCAATTGGAAGAAGCATTGGAACAAAATGAAGTAGATAATGTGGAAATAGACAAATTGAATCAAAAGCTTGAACAAGCAATGGAGGAGTTAAAGGAAGCTAATCAACAAAAAAAGGTTATCCTCGCCCTTACCCAAGAGAAGCAAAGCATTTTATTATTGGTTGAAGTCAAGGAAAAGGAACACAAGAAGCAAATGGAAACAGTAAATGTTCTTGTACATGGGCTGTCAAAAATGATTTCTGATTTTGAATGTCTAGTAGCAGAGGATATCCGAAAAAATAACATCAGGTACAATATAATTTCTATTTTATTTTGTGTACGTTTTTATTGATCTATGGGAATGTACTGCCGAAATATTTGGTTGATCTTGGGACTTGGGAAGGTTGTATGCCTTAAAGTTGTTTGTGGTCAATCTGGTGGCTACTCTTTATTTTTTTTTTTTTTGTGGGTGCGCTAGAAGTGTGAAATTTCTGACCTTCATTCTGTTAGATACTATCTCTCCAACGTAGCGGATTCACTTCCTTTGTAAGTAATTTTACTGGTTTTTTGGGCAATAGTCCACTCCCTGTTGCTTTGTCTTTAATCCAGCTTGAGCCCGTGTTCGGTTTCCCAGATAGGCTACCATTAGCACCAATCTTGTCTGTCTATGTGTCTTTATGGTTACCTATTTGGTAGTAGGGGAATTTTTGGGATTGTAATTATTNTTTTGAGCAATAGTCCACTCCCTGTTGCTTTGTCTTTAATCCAGCTTGAGCCCGTGTTCGGTTTCCCAGATAGGCTACCATTAACACCAATCTTGTCTGTCTATGTGTCTTTATGGTTACCTATTTGGTAGTAGGGGAATTTTTGGGATTGTAATTATTGGCATTGAAGAGAAGCTTAAGGTTGTGGTTGGAGCCTGACTAATGCAGGATGGGAAGAAAAAGAAATTAGAAAATAGAGAGAAGAAGAAAAAAGAATGGCGGAAGAGATTTACCTCATCCTCGAAAGGAATCGGTCAAGAAATACGTAAGTTTCCGCTAAGAATACTCAATTCTTATTCATAATCTATCTCACATGAATATTGATGTATCCCTACTATTTTCATTAGAGAAAGAGATTCTGAATAAGAATTGAGGATTCTCTATGAAGATTTGAGGGTTTCTTGACTGATTCCTTGCGAGGATGAGGTAAATCCCTTCCGCACTTCTTCTTTCTTCTCCTTTTTCTATTTTCTGATTTCTTTTTCTTCCATTCCTACATCAGCCCATGTCCTATATTTCTAGGATTTGTCGTGTTCAACGTGTTTGTGTCGGGTTGCATCTGCTTCCCGTATGTGTATTTGCNTCTTCTTCCATTCCTACATCAGCCCGTGTCCTATATTTCTAGGATTTGTCGTGTTCAACTTGTTTGTGTCGGGTTGCATCTGCTTCCCGTATGTGTATTTGCTTCATAGCATGTAGACCAGTTTTCGGGATACCATAATAAATAAATTGTGCCTACATTCTCAGGTTGGAACATTTAAATCCTCAATCGAGTTCTCTTATCCAACAAGCTTGTTTGCAGTCAGACATGGATGAACTCGTATCACAAATGCCAGAGTCTTCTATGCAATCTTCATCTGCAGTAGATGAAGTTTTCACTCAAGTCATGGGACCGGAGCAACCTGGACGTGTTAGAACATATGGTTTTGGACCATCTCCGAGAGATGTGTCTGGACATAAAAAATCAGAAGAGATGCAAGCAATGCAGTCCCAACTAGATGAGCAATTGAGTAGACATAAGGCAGAGATGGAGGCTAAGCAGTTAGAGATGAAGACTCAACAGGCACAAATCAAGAAGCAAATGAGTCAGATGGAAGCTAAGTTTGAGGCTCAACAAAGACANGATGGAGGCTAAGCAGTTAGAGATGAAGACTCAACAGGCACAAATCAAGAAGCAAATGAGTCAGATGGAAGCTAAGTTTGAGGCTCAACAAAGACAGTTTGAGGTTTTTCTTGTTCAAATGCGTGCAATGGGTATGTCTATTCCCGAACCAGTTCACAAAAATACAGATCCACTTCAGGTTGAAAAGGTAATAAAAACTTCAGCGACTTATATTTTGAGTTAGAATAGTTATTGTATTATCGTATTATTTTTCTCCATGAATATTAAGTATTTACAATCTTAAAAGGTACCTGATGCATCTAGTACTCATAATATAAACTCCCATCGATCATCAATGAGGAGTGAGTCAAGAAGTCTGGCAGTGCGAGACACAGAGTTTCGCGGTCATTCTAGAGCATCTTCATTTGGTCAGGTGAGTCAATAAATGGAATAGTAGCTCAAATATTACATGAGTTTGTTGACTGGTATTGATCTTGTTGCAATTACTTTCATTCTGACCATAGCACCTGTACTGAGACTCGTGGCTGTCCATATTCTGCCAATCCATATTCTGAGTTTTGGCAATTACTGTTTGGATCATGTGGTTTGGCATATCTGTGGGACATCATATTACCTTATTATTGCTTGATTTTTGATCTGTGTCAGTCGATTGTGCTTCATATTTTGCATGCTGTATTATGTTGTATTATTGTTTTATGTGAAATTCATGTGTTAATTTATATTAAATGTAGGTTCATCAACAAAAGAAAGCGAAATTGCAACGTGTTAATAACCATGCAGTGAAATTGCCGCCCAATTAACTCTCTCTCTTCTATGCCATGCAACGAAATTCTCCCAATGATGGACATGGTATTGNGCGTCAGTCGATTGTGCTTCATATTTTGCATGCTGTATTATGTTGTATTATTGTTTTGTGTGAAATTCATGTGTTAATTTATATTAAATGTAGGTTCATCAACAAAAGAAAGCGAAATTGCAACGTGTTAAAAACCATGCAGTGAAATTGCCGCCCAATTAACTCTCTCTCTTCTATGCCATGCAACGAAATTCTCCCAATGATGGACATGGTATTGACTGAAACAAAACAAACACCATCTTGACCATGAAACAATGACATTACATATCAGTTTAGCTGAACTGAAACAGAGAAGGGTTTGAACCTTGAATAGAGTCATTACCCAACAAAATTCAAAAGAACTTTTGCAACAGTGTAAAAAGCTCCAAAATGGTGTACAGAGTACTAAAAGTAGCACAGAATCTGAAATTGGTANATACAAAACAAACACCATCTTGACCATGAAACAATGACATTACATATCAGTTTAGCTGAACTGAAACTTTGAACCTTGAATAGAGTCATTACCCAACAAAATTCAAAAGAACTTTTGCAACAGTGTAAAAAGCTCCAAAATGGTGTACAGAGTACTAAAAGTAGCACAGAATCTGAAATTGGTACCTTTCTCTTGCCACTTGTTGGGTCTTTCTCTGCTTCAGAGCTGGGCCTTTTTTGGACAGTTTTAATTTCACCCGAGATAAAAACATTCTGATTTTTTATCAAATTTCCAGATCAAAAAATGAAAAATCCTTTTGAGTTTGTTTTGATTTATTCCTTTTTGGTGTTTTTTTTTTTTCCTTGAGGTACCAACAATGCAGATATTGTGGAAATTGGAGCTTCAAAATCGAGTAATAATTGGGTGAAAGGGGAGAAACTTTATATCCCACATTGCCAGCCAAGATACNTTGTACCTTTCTCTTGCCACTTGTTGGGTCTTTCTCTGCTTCAGAGCTGGGCCTTTTTTGGACAGTTTTAATTTCACCGAGATAAAAACATTCTGATTTTTTATCAAATTTCCAGATCAAAAAATAAAAAATCCTTTTGAGTTTGTTTTGATTTATTCCTTTTTTGTGTTTTTTTTTCCTTGAGGTACCAACAATGCAGATATTGTGGAAATTGGAGCTTCAAAATCGTGTAATAATTGGGTGAAAGGGGAGAAACTTTATATCCCACATTGCCAGCCAAGATACAATGGAAGAAAGATTTGGTGTTGTTATTTCACGGCTGGAGATCCTTGTTGGCCGGACAAATCATATTGTGAGGCCAACTGCCCACTTCCACCTGCTCTACAAATTCCTTAGACTTGTATAACGCTTTTCATAATGTTGTATGTGCTCCACATTAAAGCTATTTGTTCAATAAAATTTTTAATAATCAATCATCATTACTACAATGTGTCGAAAAATTACGTGTATCAAGTCAATCAGAACATCTCTTGCAAGACTTGTACTTATCATTTTTGAGATATTAACCATTAGAACTGCACAATATGAGATATGATAACANTATACTTATCATTTTCGAGATATTAACCATTAGAACTGCATATGAGATATGATAACAGATTGACACTAGTTCATTGCATGCAATTTATACTAGTCNTGTACTTATCATTTTTGAGATATTAACCATTAGAACTGCACAATATGAGATATGATAACAGATTGACACTAGTTCATTGCATGCAATTTATACTAGTCTTGCCACGATTTTTCTTTCAAGAAGTAATGCTATATGTTGGCATATGGGTTTGGAACTAAATTAGGTTGCTCATGGATGGACACAATCAAGATAAAGGTAATTAGTGGTTTTCTTTAAAAATTAAGATTAAGTTTTCCTTAAAAATTAGTTAAAATTATAATTTTTTAAATATGACAATTTTACCCTAAAATATTTTCCAACCATATTCAAACTTTAGTTAGTCTCCTCCCCTAAATTCCTAATATGCCGATCCTATTCGTCGTCTCTGTCAAACACCTCCAACACATAAACACACACTCCATCACNTGAATTCCTAATATACCGACAAACACCTCCAACACATAAACACACACTCCATCACATAAACACACATATCCACAANTAAATTCCTAATATGCCGATCCTATTCGTCGTCTCTGTCAAACACCTCCAACACATAAACACACACTCCATCACATAAACACACATATCCACAAAAAATACATGCATACACTCCATCACAAATACGCACGTACGCACACATAAAATCATACACAAATTCGCACANAAAAAATACATGCATACACTCCATCACAAATACGCACGTACGCACACATAAAATCATACACAAATTCGCACACACTAGTACACAAACTCACACACAGTCACACACAAATCGAAAGACACAGTCACACAAACACACACAAATCCACACAGTCACACACAAATCTGCACACAATCATTTTTTTATTATTATTATTGTTCAAGTCTTTTATTTGTTCTATATGAATATTTTTTAGTATGTATATTTTCAATCTTTATTTTTCAATTCTTTAATTGATCAATTTATTAGTTTTTATATATTGAATGTTGTATAATGTTAGAACCTTCAACTTTGCATGCTACAGTTGTTATTTTCTCTCTCACACAAATAGTATATTATCATTTGTCTTACTTATTTGTGACCAATAAAACTTAAAATAATACACAAGATATCCACCCCCAAAATTGGATTTAACTATAATGTGATATAAGTGATTATGATTTGTGTTATAAATTACTTTTAGTGATATATTGTGAGTATTTATTAGATAAATGTATATTTTATAAATAATTTTAAGTAAAGAGTGGAAGGATAAAATTAATAATTAATTAATTTTCAGACGTCTGCACTGTATACTTATCAAACAGTTTAGTTCAATTCAGTATTTAAATTTCAGTAGATACCAAATAGTTCGTGAATTAAAAATTCAGCCTTCAGCACTTAAAGTTCAACATTCAATTTTATTAAACACCACATTAGAGCATCTTTAATCATGAAATTTGAGTCTAAATTTGAGTAAAAAACTTGATTTAGTATAGAGTATTTCAATGGACAAATTCAAATCTTTTAACAAAATTTCCACCAAAACATTTTATGATTTCTCATTCTCCTGTTTCATTCCCTCCAAAACCTATCAACCAAACTTGAAACCAATAATTAAAAAGCAAAGGCAACAAAAGAGAAACATTGTTGTTATTCGTCTCCAAATTCGAAAATATATCTGGATTTCCCAAATGAATTCTACAATACGAAATTGCAAAACTTTTAGCCTACTTAACCACCAATTCCATTTCAGGCCTCATATTCTTATCTTTCATGGTAGTAATTTTCTTCTCTCATCAAACGCTCGATGATAACAATTAATCAAATACAAAAACGATGGTTCGGCCGAGAAAAAATTACTCGATATAAAATATAGCTTGCAGAATATATCTATAATCTATAATATAAAATATGAGACTTTAATATGCTTATTTGACGATCTTAAATAGACTCATCCAACGGTCATCAACGTCCCTCTCAAAATCATTCACATTACACCGTACTTTCAGGCACGAGTTACCCCTACTATATATATATATATATAT